GTTTTTTTCTTGACAGTTAGCTCAACTATTTAACTTTACACTTTATTGGCTTCTCTTTTTTTTCTTTTCTGGATTGCATTTAATATTGAAGGCAGTGCTATTTTAGCATTCCTGTGGTCTAATCTTATTTTCCATGATAAGTCTGTGCATTTGCTTCAATTATTTTAAGAATTATTGGAATTTCGGAGATTGGTTCAGAGCTTTTCCTGTATTTTAAAGTTCTGCCTTCTTTCCTCGTTATCATGATCATACACAACTATGTACTTCTCTTACTTGTAAAGAGATTCACACGAGACAATTTTAATAAATTTCATATGCAATATATTTGCATGAATTGCCTCATGAATTTAAAATTCCAGAAGCTATAACTCTGTTAACTGAAACGCTTTAACCTAAACCTCAATATGCAAAAAATCATTTAAGGCTGAATTGCCTTCGACATAAATCTCTTTATAAATAGCCTAAAGTAAGTGCGTGTTCCTGAAACCACTGCCAAGCACTATTAGTTCTGTGCCTCTTGAAGAATGGTTGTGGCTTTTTATTTCATTATATGTATATGATAACATATTTCCAAAGAAAAACAAATATTAAGTATCAAAGATATTAAACATAATTAAGACAAAGATGGTTAAATGTTTAGTATCTCTGAATTACATATAAGTTATAGAATTCTTCATCCAAAGAGTTATATTGTACAATTTCACCAAGAGCAGGAAGATAATATGAATAAAGAAGTGTCTGCACTGCACAGAAAGATCAATGAACAGTTAGAGTAGGGACTGGCAAGCCAAAGCCTGAGGAGATTATGTTAAGTGAAAGAAGCCATGCACAGAAAAATATCACATGGGTCTTCCAGCTGCCTTTCTAAATAAAGTTTTATTGGAACACCCCACTTATTTGCTTACGTACTATTTGTGGCTACTTTCATACCATAGTGGCAGAGTTGAGTAGTTACAACAGAGAATATCTGGCTTTGAAAACCGAGAATATTTGCTACTTGGCTACTTAGACAAAAATGTAGCCAAACACAGTGCAATTAGTAGAGTTCCTCAACGGAAACAGCAGCTTTAGAGACTTGGAAAGCTGAATATTAGATTCCTAGCATCACCTTTATTTCCTTTAGTATGAGAAAAAGGTATGGGGTATCCTCCATGGTTCTCTTTATAGCATTTTAGAATACTGGATAAGTACTGTGACATTTTCCTTATAAATAGGATATTTTCCTTAGTCATATGTGCACAAATTATGGAGTTGTATGTTTTAACAAAATGTATGTTTTAATAAAAACTTATTTCGTGATAAATAGCAGAGAAAACAGACAGGAGACATGCTTAAAAAGCTGAGGGCTGAGACAGCAGCCAGGAAAATGATCTGAAATATCAAGTCAGAACACTTGAACGAAGCAGGTGCCCTGGAGAGGGCAGACATGGCTGTGGACACCGCACAATGAGCCCTCACCTGGTCAGGGGTCGGGATCATTAATTCATACTCCTGACAACTCTTTCATTTATTGCTACTTCACAAATCTTAGGGGAGAAATGATTTTTAGAAAGAAGCAGCAACCCTACGAACTGCTTCCTTCCTGAAGCTCATCTTTACCACACTTTAATCAACGTGGGAACCCCAGAAAGCTACTTAGACCTAGGAAACTGCATCCCTCATGCCATCCGGCAAACTTCAAGTCATTGGAAATTGTACTTTCACTCTGCCTCTTCATAATTCCTTTTTTGTACCTGGGTCCAGTCAAGATAATAAATCACCTTTAAAATACTTCTGCCTCTGTGCTTGTCAGTCAATCGCCCTGGGGTACAACTGTCTGCTTTGGAGAACAAGATAAAGGACCTTAATTAAGGTTTGGAAATTCTAACCCAACATATAGCTCTCTAATTCTTTCCCATCAGCTTCCATAAAACATGTTATTATTTTTGTGGTAACATCTGTATTGCCCTTGAGAGTCTCTAAACTGTCATCATATTATCTTAATTTACTGAGTCACTTCAGGAAGCACTATTTTTCCCTCTCTAAGGTCAGATCATGTGACCGACACTGTAAAGTGGGAACCCAAAGCTCCACATTGTTGAATGACTGCCAAAATTGCACAAGGAAAAAATAAACAAAATCCATTTGACTTGTAATTCAGTGTTGTTTTACTGTGTCATGCAGTCTCCCAGGAGTCCAGATAAACAAATTGCTATAAACTGCTGACTTGAGGATGCATTTTGCTATAGGCTGAATAGCTTCTCCCAAATTCCTGTGTTGAAATCCCCATTCTCAGGACACCACACTGAAGATGAGGCTTATAAGGTAGTATCTAAGGTTCAACAAGATCATAAAGGTGAGGCCCTGATATAATAGGATTAGTGCCCTTATAAGAAAAGACACTAGAGAGCTCAGTCTTCTCTCTGTATCATATGAGATCATAGCCAGAAGTCTTAGGAAGAGAGTTTTCACCAGCACCTTAATCTTGGTAGGTACACATGTCTGTTATGGAAGCTGCCCAGTGGTGTATTTTATTATGGCAACCTGAGTAGACTTGGGCACATTGCTAAGATTCACATTGAGGTAAGGAAACTTCTGGAAGAAAAAAAAGTGTTTGGGCTACCATACAATCTAAATTCCAGATCCTACAAAAGAAAAAAGAAAAAGATGTGAAATTTCTTCTTGTAATTGCTCCCAAAGCATCTAAGACACAGAACTCTGAAGACAAGACAGTGCTGAAATCGATTATGGTGAGTTATGTTGTTGGGCTTCAGTGGCTGAAACCCAAATGGTTATGTTGTGCAAACCTTCTAAGCCAACTTTAATGAGCTGAAAGAGAAGCACAGCCCCTGGCATCCAGAAGCTGGCTTGGTACCAAAAATCAAGCCTTGATATCCTCCTGTCAGTCATCAAATCTTCCACAGAGCACCAACATCGGACAAGGCACTCTATGACCATGATGGATCAGGACAAAATCACAACCCCTCTATCACAGTATCTGAGCACAGACAAAATATAGACATTGTCCAAGCCACAAACTACCTAATGTTCCCTTACCCAGCTAGTATGAGCCATTGATGCTTCTTCACCAATAACTTCAGCCCAGTTTGCTCTGCCTGTGGATAGGACTATCAAAAAACCAATCATGGAATTACCCTGCTTCATGACAGTATACGATCCACAGCAAAACTACCATGAGGACTCCACCAAGTTGAGGAACACAAGTCCGAATCCTGTCAGTCTTTTCTAACACCCATTAGTTGACACTGTCCATCATCCTCCAAACTCTCCCCGAGACATAATAAACCTTATTGATCCAGCTACAGGGATGGGAAGCAGAAGGCCCACACATTCCAGAGGTTCCACCCACAGAAGCTGCCTTTCACCACCGCTGCAGAACTGGAACCCCGTGTACGCCATGCTCTTTCTTATATGTGCATATCTCTGATAAAGTCGAACATATAAATTAGTGATTACAAAGTAAGAATCCTGAGGAGTGATCAAAAATTATGGTAAATGTTTACTTTTTTTAAAATTACAGTAAAAGACAGATTGCCATTAAGCCCCTCGAAATACTCTCACTTCTAACATGCTTTTCCCTTCATTCTTGCCACCTTCTGAAACAAAAGTCCTCTTTCTTGAGGGGCTTTAGTTGCACTGTTGCAACTAAATCAAAACATTTACCTTTCACAGTCATTTTGAATGTAGGGAAAAGCCAGAAATTGCACAGTGCAAAATCTGGGGGATGAGGTTGGGGACATCATCATGTTTTACAAGCCTGCCATTCTGTTTGATGGCACTCAGCAACAGTGCTCACACCTCATAAAGGTGGAGTCAAAAGTGGACTTCCAGAGATGCTTCAGAAAGTGTGAAGAGTCTACGGCCATGCCACACCGAACACACCCGGTCTCTTTAGAAAGTGGCAAGAACAACAGGGTAAGTATTTTCAAAGCAAAGAGTATTCTGAGGGGGATTGATGGCAATGTGTCATTTAGCGTAATACATTTTTTAAATTTAAACATTCACTGCATACTGTAATAAAACATTCACTTCAAACTATAATAAAATGTGTGTGAAGGTGGCCACTCTCTCTCAAAATCTTGTACCACCTTCCTCCAGACACGGCTGACAGTTGGCAGCTAAGCCATGGATGAGGGGGGACTATGGATCCACTGCGCTCGCAGAGGTCTTGGGCTGAGGACCCTGACCAAGAGCAGCTGAATAATGTGGCCCTGCTTAACCGTGCTCCATTTTGTTTGTCTTGTGAAAACCCCTTGACGATCATATCTTAAAAGCTAATCAATCTTGAAATTCTGAAATTTAAAATCCCATTGTCAGGTTTTTGCTGGTCATTCACTTAGGTTGTAAAGGAAGACAGAAACGGGACTCAGATGTTTCCAGGGAGTTCTTTGCACTTGCAATGTTAGGGGAAAGACCCCAAGGCTCCTCCATAGTCAATGCAACACTCTCTGTTAGTTGTCCTGCATCTCAGAGGGGGAAAGCCGGCTAACAGAGTGTCAGACACCAAATATGAGTTTCTACATTACTGCCATTGCTGAAGGCATTTGTCATTTTTATCTGTCCAGGGCCCTTTCTCCCTCCCTCTTCCAGCCACCAGAACCTTTCTTTCCTGCAGGCAACTCATAGAAAGTGGTCTGCTCATGTCACCAATGAAAAAAATCATATGTAATTATGCTAATGTATGACATAATTATGCTAATGTATGACATAATTTTGCTAAATAGTGATATCTTCATGTGAATTTATGAACTACCTCTGGACTGTACACTGCCATCTAAGATCATCCAAAACCCAACCATCCCCAAAACGTAAGTTTCTAACTAGGGGCTTCAAATGCTATCTAGCTGTCCCTATGGTGTTAATTTAAATTAATTGGTATGTGCATATATCATATTGTTCACACAGAGAATGAAGCACCCAACCTTAGGCTTAGTGAACAACAACTAAATTCAACACATCATCTAGAAATTTTGTCCTTTACTGTGAGTTTCTGAACGTACCACAAAAACAGGATCATTGGCGGCTGAATGTGGCAGAGCACTTGTCCCGTTCAGGAAGGAGTGAACCAAGTTATGAAGGTTCGCCACTCGAGAGTCCAGCAACCCATCTGCCTTATCAAACCCTTCCAAGGCATTCCTAAGAGAAACCAGAGAGTCCGTGGGTGACAAAACCCAAAGGAGAAAGAGCTCTTCTTCCTCTTCCCAGCCTACAAAGTGCTCTTGCAATCTGGGTTTCGGTAGGAATGTGAGAGGCTTCATCACAGCTCAGTAATGAAGAATTAGCCCCTACTTTCAGTGGTAGTCTACTCTCAGGGGAGAGAACTCTTAATCAGTGTTACCTGTGCAGCTGCTCCATTAAATGTTATCTCTTCTGGTTACTGTACGACAATTGTTTACCTTCGTACTCGTCTCTCATGTCCTTGAGTGTCTATTTTCTTCCACATTTTTATCACCAGGGCTCACTATCCTGCCCAGCACATAGTCTATGATCAACAGATGTTTTGTAAATTAATTTATAATTTTATATTCTTAATTCTCAACTAAGTTGACCTTCAGCTTGACTGTAAGACATTTAGAGTTACAAACACATCTAAACATTCCCCTTATCTTTTTCTTTTTTCTCGCCCCACTTTCAAGAAATTCTAATGGTACACACTCTGACTCAGTGATCCTCAAAACTAAGCACATCTTTGAAATCCCATGAGAAAAACACATATCCCAGGCCCAACTCCTAAAGGAGAGGAAGCACAGGCCTCAACAAGCTGCCTACCAATTCCCAGCTGATGACAGTGACGGTTGTCTGAGCATTACGTTTTAAGGTCCACCTCCCTAACTCCAATCTATGGGAATCCAATCTGTTTCACTAGCATTTTTATCACAAAGGAAAACTAATGCATGTCCTTTTTTTCAAAAATCTTAAATTTTGCCTTTTATCTACTTTTGACACTGCTCTGAGGGATGTGTCTAATGTCAGCAGAGCATCTGAGCTTCGCTGCACTTAGTACAGCTGTATTTGAGTTCAGCCTGCCTTGTCCATGGTTCCATATATGTTGTATAATTTACATGCAGTCAAGAAAGAATCTGGCTTAGTAAAAGGCCATGGGTCTACCCGTCATTCCTGTTTGGAAGCCCCATCTATATTTGTTAAAATCATATTTGTATACATATTTCTTATAATGCTTAACATCTTTTTTGGGTGGAAGAAAATAGTTGCTCATTAAAGTTTGAGTATTTTAATGTCATGGCTATGCTATAATTTGAGTTGAATTTTGTCTGCAGTACTTGAGCTCAGACCCCCCAAAATTAAAGTCTATGGCTGATATATTTCCAATGTAAGTATTTTTAAAATAAGAAAGAAAAATAAGAACAACAGTCATTTCTCAGTATTTAGAGTACTCCTTTTTTAAAAGTATAATGAGGTACCCTGGTACCAAAGACTATACCTAGATATGTACATAAATTATAAATATAAAAGATAGCTTTGAACAGCTACATTAAAAAGATAGTAAAGCTATGTTATTAGTTATAGTGGGTGGATAACTCTCCTAACATTAATCCCTTGTTAATCGCTCTTATTAAGTGTCTCTCCACTACTTAGCTTGCAAATTTCTCCTAACACCTAGATTTCTTACAACCACAAGCATGAAGATCTAGAGCTCATGTAAAAGAGGTCAGACTCAGCACGAACCTGAAGCTGAAGGTAGAGTTCTGGAAGAAAGGAGGGTTGTCAAACTTCTGGAGGGACAGACAATCTTGTACGTTTTTTAAGGTTGGCAACTTCTCACTATTTCTTCCCACTTGATTTCTTCTCAGCAAACCTTCATACGTTCCATTACACAAGGTGACTCGGTGATTGTAGTCATCCAAGCTAAGATTTATAAGAAGATTAAAAATAATATGTCTTAACTCATGGATGGTACAATAAATTTAGGCCAAGCCCAATTATCAAGGTCATAGACAGTCATGGTAAAAGTTTATTAGTTATTTTACAAGAGTCAAAAATATGTAGTAAAAATACTGCCCTTGAGAGTAATTATGGATTGAGAAGTTCCAAAATTATGAAAGCACAAAATATAAATACAGGAATAAATAGACAGTAATTACCATGCTGTCAATATCATTACCAAGAGAGGGAGAGGATTTTCAGGGCAAGGGGGTGACTTGCATTATGCACATTTGACAGTGGAGCAAATGAAGGGATAAGAAGGTGGCATGTAGTTCTTAATGTTTCAGGAGATGGAAATGTGAATTATCTTGATTAAATGATTACACACTGTATACATGTACTGAATTATCACAGTGTACCCCATAATTTACACAATTAAAATAATTGATTTTAGAAAAGAAGAATATATATATGTGTATATATATATATATATATATATATATATATATAAAATTATAGCTTGTGTCTAGATGTCCCCCAGTGCCTCATGTGCTCATAGGTGGGCCTTTTTCAGGGAGTGTTTGGATGTATAGTGTGTGACGCTGGGATTGATTCATGGCACAATGCTAGAATCAAGGGCACTAGGATTAAGGGTGCAAGTGGTACCCCGCCAAGGGTGAGTAGCCTGGATAAGGTATAAGCAATAGAAAGAGCTGTGGTTGACCCGTGTCGCTTTCCTTCCTTCTGCCCACCATGATTAGTTCTCCTCTGTGAAACCACCCTGCCTTGGAGCCAACCAGTTATGTGCTGAAACCTCTACAAACTGTGAGCTACATAAACCTTTCCTCCTTTACCTTTGGGTGGTGGCCAGGAGTCCCATCATCAGAGTACTAGTTCACAGAGAGAGACAGAATACTAAAGATGCTGCTGTGTGAGCTTTGAAGGGTGAGGGGTGGTAGTACATGGTGTGTGAGAAGGAAATCAGCACACACACAAGGTCGGAAGAGGCCAGGACCCAATGCAAGGCCAAAAAACAAGAAGAAAGAAGGAAAAAAAGGCCTTCCAGGCAGCATTTCCCAAAGTGTGTTCCAGTGAGATGGTCTGTGAAATAAGAGTCTGAGGATCAGAAAGATTTCAGTTCCTCTTGAAGAGGAATAATACATTTATGCATGGAAGGCTTGGAGATGCTCTAAATTTTTTAAAACCTTCCCAATTCAACACTTTCTACAATTTTATGGTTCTAGCCACCTCTCTTCACACACCCCCTGTTCATGTGGGATGGGAAATGGCACTTTCTGGGGGGATTAAGCGAGGTCATGGAAAAAGTATGAAGGATGTCCCACAGGGGGTGGAGAGGATGGAATCAGCCAGAGTAGGCTGAGGCAGAAAGATCCTACATTCTACTCTAGCCTGGGCAACTTATCAACATAGTAAGTTCCTGTCTCAAAATAAAAAAAAAAAAAAATTAAATAAAGGCTAAGGATGTAGCTCAGTGCCAAGGCCTTGCATTCAAAACCTAGTTCTGCAAAAAAAGAAAAGAAAGACAGAAGAGGACCGGGTCTCCACAGTTGAACTGGGCCCCTCAGAACTCACACCCGCCCAGGCTCAGGTGTCTCAAAGGAGCCGGAGGGGAGAGCTCCATGGAGCTGGGACTTGATGCCCTGGAGCCGCCTAATGACACACACAGGGAGCTGAGAAAAGAAGTGAAAAGCAAAGGCAAAGGAGCTTGCCGGGGAATCTTCTCCTGAGATACAATCACGGCCCCCATCCGTGCTTTTATTTCCCATGGTTTCCGTTACCTGCTATCTACTCTGACCTGAAAACATGACCCTAGTGCACTGAGGAATTAAGATATTTTGCGAGCAAACTCACAGTCACATAACTTTGATTGCGGTATGCTGTTAGAATTGTTCTATGTTACTATTAGTTATCATTAACCTCTTGCTGGGCCTAATTTATAAATCTAGCTTTACCACAGGTATGCCTGCATGGGGAAAAATTGTGTGTGCATGCAGGGATTAGAACTAGCTGAAGTTTTAGGCATCTGTGGAAGTCTTGGAATTTAGTCTCCAAAGGTCCGGGTGACCACTGTATTGTGTCTGGAAAGAGAACTGAGTTCGAGGAGTCTCTGGGGACCCCATTCTGCTGGGACTGTGGCCACTCACCGGCTCATGTGGTCTTTAGGGGTTCAGCAATCATTGCCCGCTGATGCCACATCCCAGCCCCCTCAGCTCTCCAGCACCCTGTGGTCCAGCCTGTGGTCCCTGGCTGCTTCTAGGACTCTTTTAGCTGCTCACACAAGGCTCCCTCTACCCGGGGCACTTCTGTCCCAGCACATCCTCCTCTCCCTCCCCACGCCTGGCTGAGCTCTGCACCTCCTGCAGTCTCAGAACCTTCATCTCCATCCCCAGGGACTTGCTCTGTCTCCTCCTGGCTTTGCACACACACCTCTCATAATGCTCATTACCCTGAATGACAGTTTGTTACAAAAAAATCTGTTGTAAATACAGAATGATATTTTTAAAAAGGAGGTTACATCGATTCATCCTTGCAATTCCAAAGGTATTGCGTCACCTGGATGAGATGGGGATCATTCAGGGCGTATGGCCGTGGACATTGCATCACCTAGAAAATGATTGGCACTTATCAAACACTGGCTGAGTGCAGGAACTACTAATGTTAAAACAGTTCATCTCAAAACGATGGCTGAGTATATTCAATTCCCACATGTAACTTTGATATATCTAGTTATTTTCATTAAAGAGTTTAGAATTTTAAAAATCCCTATCCCACAAAAAAAAAAAAACTGTTGCCAGAAACATGTAAAGAGAACCTCACAGGCATTTGAAACAGAAACTTAAAGTGTCTTTCCATCTCTCAGACATAAGAGAAGACAGTCGCGGATCTCCACCGGGGTATGCACGCCATTACCTGTCACAGACAATTTCCCAGCTGGAGAATCTTGAGTTCGGACTAATCAGAGTTGGGTCATCTTGTCTGGCTGCCCCGAGAAGCTGGTCTGTGCACACATCACACTCGTTTCTCCCAGTGGCAAAATTCCAGTAGGGCAAAGCGAAGGACTCATTCCCAGTGAGGCGCTAAAAGCAAAGCACAGGCCCGGTTGTCTAATTTGCCTGTCGAGTGCAATGAGAAGGCCTATAAGGCACAGACTGATATATGTTCTGATCAATGTATAGCAAGCTTAAAAGTTCCAGACCAGTGGATGAATAAAGAGATTGAGATATATATGTGTGCAATGTAATATTGTCCAGCCTTAATAAGAAAGAAATCTGACTATTCTGCAACAATAGAGATGAACCTAAAGGATATTATGCCAAGTGAAATAAGACAGATCCAGAAAGAAAAATATTGCATGATGTCACTTACATGGGAAATCCAAAAATCAGATGCATAGAAGTGAAGAATAAGCTGGTGTTTGCTGGGGGCAAGGAGGGAAGGGAAGGTGTAGATCAAAAAGTACAAAGTTGAAGTTATACAGCATGAATAAGTCCAGAGAGCTCACAGACAACATGAGGACCGTAGTTCATGCATTAGATTATACACTGGTAACTAAAAGAATGATTTTACTCTTCATGAATACACGAAAAAAAGAAAGTAACCACACAAGATGCTGGGCAGGCTAATTTTCTTGACTGGAGTTATCACTTTACTACGAATACCAAAATAAGTCCATCAAAACACCACGTTATGCCGTACTCACTAAAGAGGTACACCATTTTTAACTAAAAGTATCAGATGTATAGTTTGACCCACCTGGAGGTCTCTTTCCAGCCACAATAAATGGTATCTATGCCAGGTCACAAAAGCAGGTCCTTGGTGTGAGAAATCTATGGCCTTGAAGGGGCGTCCTGGTCCTAGAGCAATTGGACAATGCATGAGAGATCACAGAACAGAATATTTAAAATGTTACACCTTATCTGGGATATTTCCCTACAGCCAACAAATCCATGATGTTTTCCTTCACTTTTTTTAGTTAATTAATTATATTTCATTTTACTGGTACCAGGAATCAAACTCAGGACCTTGCACTTGCCAGGCAGGTGCTATGCTGCTAAGCTATATCCCTGGCCCCGTTTTGTTTTTCTTTTTCAAAAAAAAGTTATTATTTATTTCTTCAAAAGCAACAATAACAATAATCTCAAAAGAATTTCAGAAGCAACTAGCACTTTTAGGATAAAATCACTTTCATCTCTCAAAAGCCTGATATTTAGCACAGAGCCAGGGAACTGAAGTCAGTTTTTATATAAAGACCCTTGTTACTTATTTAATTTTTCAATAACAATTCATTAAGATAACACAGAGTATTCAGAAGGCAGCCCATTAAGACCTAAACAAAACACACGTTTAAGAGATATTCTTTAACCTATCCTTGCAAAAGCATAAATTTGTAAGGGAAAATTTAATTAGGAATGTAAACTTCAAGTACACTTAGTCCTTATGCAGCATTTATATAATCAAAAAGAACTTCCACGGATTCTGCCTCAACCATCCGTCAGCTCCAAAGACTGGCTGACAAGCGTGGTCATGGAGACCAGGAGAGAGAAAAATACATTCAAACCAATTTGGCTGCCCACTGGAACTGTCAATTTTAGTGAAATGCTTTGGGCAATTTAATGCCCTCCTTACCGCCTATTCCATCTTTCTTCCCCCTTTCATTACAGCTTTTGATAGTTATGTAGAAACTTTTGCTAACTTTAGTTCTTTTTCAAAGTACCTATAATAACTTCAGAGAGCTGAACAGACATGAATATAAATTTAATTCCTAGATACAGCCAGAAACTATAGTTTTCTTTTTCTCTCCGGAGACTACCCTCTCATAAAGCAAAAATTCCTCAGAGTGATGGCCAGGGACACTATCAAGGTTGATAGCCAGAAGAGCCTCTTTATCCATCGATAAAGAAAGACAGATGCTCACCTGCGAGGCAGTTTTAAAAAGACTCACACTGAGAACTCAACTGCTGTCTCTGCAGTTGGCTATGCAGGATCTTTTTTCAAAAAAATAAACCTTTTCCTCTAGAGCAAAGTTTTAAGCTTTCAGACGGAATTAGGGGGAACTGAGGTGGTAAGAACAAGAGATAAACACAGGCATGGGTAACCTAAAGTGAGAATCTCACTATTCCAAGGGAGCTCAGTGTCTTCATTTCATCTTTATCCAACAAGGGAAGCCAGAAGCAGGGACAGTCACAGAGACAGCCAAGTGTAGAATGGCTTCAGACTCTCCTGGAACAAGCCATCCCCCGGCTGATAAATAACTGAGGAGGAAGCTGGACCTGTTTGATTAATGACAGGCATGGTGGACACCCTCTCACTCCAAGTCCTACCTAGCCCCAGTTTTTAGGACTGCAAGAATCCTCAACATTTCTTAAGCATCATTTTCATTTCACTATGTTATGGCTGGTGTCTAGATGTCTCCCAAAGCCTCATGCAGTCATAAGTGGGGATTTTTCAGAGGTGGCTGAATCTAGAGTGTGTGACACTGAGATTAATTCATGGTGCACTGCTAAGATTAAGGGTGCTAGGATTAAGAATATGAGCACTACTACCCCTAAGGCCAGGTACCCTGGATAAGATATAAGGACAAAAAAAGGCTTGTCACTGCCCATTCATTTCCTTTTGCTCTCTTCTGCCTGCCATGGACTGTTTCTCCTCTGCAAGCTCTGTCGTCGTGCGACCTTGCCTTGGAACCAGCTAGTTATAGACTGAAACCTCTACAAGTGGTGAGCTAAATAAACCTTCCCTCCTTTAACTTTGGGTGTTGTCTCAGCAACAAGAAAAAGTAACTAAGATACGTTATTCTCTCAAGCATCCAACATAACCATGGTCCAAAGGCTAAGAAGGAGAAACTCTACATGGTTATGGCTATTTTACACTTTCCTCAGCGATACAAATTCAAAAACCTAGCAGTACCTCAGTGATTATTTCGTTAAAGGTCTAAAGACATGTGAGTTTTATAGCACACACATTTCTAACACAAACACTCTAATCCTGCAGAAAGGCGTGTCATGTGCTTTGGCACAGCTCAGCTAATTACTCTAATTTGAAGAAGAGGTCAGAGAGGGCTGCCATGGCCAGATTCACAAGCAATTTTTTCTGGAATCAAAAGGAATTTGCCTCCACTTCATCAACTCATGCCTTTGAGGATTAATAGTTTCATGGAAAACAGCTTAGACTTTGAACCAAGAACATAAACTAGAGGAGAGAATATTTGAAGTGTCTGTAGCCAAGGTGCAGGAAGAAACTTCTCCCTTGTAACTTCAGGCAGTATTTGGTAATTCTACAACTTTCACAAACCTAGCCCTGCCTTGAGGTTGCTCTCTTGTTAATTAGCCTGTTTCAAATGACTTCTCATCCCCTTCCCCAACCCAGTCACATGCCTACTATAACATACCTTGAGCCAAGGAGAAAACCCACCTAATAATGTGTCTCTAACAGAATAGTAATGGAGCCATACAAAAAAATCGTAAATGCTGCAGTTGGCTATCTGTGGCTGGGTCCCATTGGGCCCAAGCAGGCCCAGCCAGTGCTGTGTGGCGATCACGTAGTCAGGGTGTGTGGTCTTCTTGGCCAGATCTAAGGCACCCAGGAACTGCTCCCTCTCCTGCGGAGTCAGGGAATGGATGTTCTGCCGGACAACGGGTGGTTTCCTCTGATCACAGTTAGGGCCAGTCCAGCCGAACCAGCAGTCTCCACAGTTATAGCCAGCAAAGTTTCCTAGTGTATAAAGAAGAGAAAGACAGAAGAAAAAGTAGTAGAATGGAGGAGGACATGCAGGGCAAAGAAAAGCAATTGCCTGATTCTCACAGAGGAAAGACCCTGGGAAGACACCAGGGAAGTGAGCCCAGGAGAGAGGCCTCAGGAGAAGCCACTCTGCCACTGACCCCTTGACCTTGGACCTGACACTTTGATCTTTGACTCCCACCTCCACAACTGTGAGGGAATAAACCTCTGCTGGAAAAGTCAAAAATAGTTTTAAAAAGTGAATTTCCTTCCCTTAATCTCCTGTCACAACCCAAGTGTCCTGAGCTCTGGAAAGCTCCCTAGAAGTATCCCCAGCAAAGAAACAGGATGTGAAATTCATGACATGATGTTCTAGGCTGACTTGCGTCTCTTTCAAAACATATTCTTCACCTCCTAATGCCCAGTATTTCTGCATGTGACTATGTAGAAAGAGAGTCTTTAAAGAGGTAACCAAGGCCAGAAGCCCATTTGTTTAGGCCCATACCCACTGTGACAGGTGTCTTTATGAGGAAGAGAGAGATAATTGACACAGACACACACAGAGGAAAGACCACATGAGGATGTCCATCCATTAGCCAAGAAGTGAGGCCTCACAAGAAACCAGACCTGCCAGCACCTTGACCTCAGATGCCGTCCTCCAGTGCTGGGAGACATAAATCTCCATTGTTTAAACCTTCCCAGATTGGTCAAAGCAGCCCCTGCACACCAACACACGTGCTCTCCTGTCACACACGGATGGCCCTTCCAGTGTCCTCCCCACCCAGGGACTCCTGGCTGAGCCCTGCTGGCATCTGCATGGCACATAGCTCAGGGCTGGACACACCAGCCCACTCACTCAGAGAAGAAGGAGAAGGTATGCAAGCTAAAGGGGAGCCAGAAAGTGAATACGCTGACCCCCAGGAATTCAGGTGAACTTTAACTCTAAAACCATTTCACAAAGGAGACAGCATTAAGACGAAATCAGCGGTGGCTGGCAGGTCTTGAAGGTGAATGTGTTGCCTCAGTGATAGGACATGCACATCGCTGAAGACTTTTGCTGTCAGCAGTGCTGAAGCGTTGTCAATGCCCACGGGGAACACAAGCGACACCCAGCTAAGCACTGTCTGAGTCGCCACCAGACTAAATCATTAGTGTCCTGTTGCTGTGTCTTTCGTCCTTAGCATTGTGAATCGTTGCTTGGGGCATAACCAGGACCTCGGTCCTCAGGTGGTGAAATGCCAGGGGATAAAAGTTGAGATAAGCTAGGAGCAAAAGACCGAGACAGGACAGGATCATAATGTTCATCCCTTAGCAAACCAAAGGGCTGGCGAGAAGATTCCAGTGGGATCAGCTCACTTGCTCTCGCCTTCACCCTGCACCTCAGGCCCCTGGGCTTATCACTTGCACTTCTTTGTGCCTGGAACACTTTTCCTTGTTTTCCCAAATTCCTCTTTCCCTGGACCACCTCCCCCTCCTGTAAGCTTCACAATAAG